CGGTCCAGTCGACGGCGCTCGCCGTCCTCGGTCGCGCTCCCCGCCAACACCAGGACTGGTTCGACGACAACGACGCCGCCATCAGAAATCTACTTGCTGAGAAGAACCGCCTCCACAAAGCCTACGTAGATCACCCTACTGAAAACAACAAAGCTGCCTTCTACCGCAGTCGCCGCCATCTTCAGCAACGACTGCGCAAAATGCAGGACGCCTGGATTGCTCGCAAAGCTGAGGAGATCCAAGGGTACGCGGACCGTAACTAATGGAAGAACTTCTTCTCTGCGACCAAAGCTGTCTACCGTCTGCCGACGAAGGGCACTGCTCCTCTCCTCAGCGCCGACGGTAGCACTCTCCTGACCGAGAAGACGCAAATCCTACAGCGATGGGCCGAGCACTTCCGAGGCGTCCTCAACCGCCCCTCCGTCATCTCCGACGCCGCCATCGCCCGCTTGCCGCAAGTGGAGACCAACATGGACATCGACCTCCCGCCATCTCTCCAGGAAACCATCAGGGCCGTGCAGCAGCTCTCCAGCGGGAAAGCCCCCGGATCGGAGGCAATCCCTGCTGAGGTCTACAAGCATGGAGGTCCCCAACTCATGGATCACCTGACTGCGCTCTTCCAGATGTGGCGTCAAGGCGAAGTTCCGCAAAAATTCAAAGACGCAACCATCGTGCATCTCTACGAGCGAAAAGGTAACCGCCAAGTCTGCGACAATCCCCGCGGCACCTTCTTGCTGAACACCGCCGGTAAGATCTTCGTTCTCATCCTCCTCAATCGTCTTAATAATCATATGGAACAGAGCCTTCTACCGGAAAATCAATGCAGCTTCCGTCGTCATCGCGGGACAACTGATATGATCTTCGCCGCCCGTCAACTTCAGGAGAAGTGCCAGGAGATGCGGACCCACCTGTACTCTATCTTCGTGGACCTCACGAAAATCTTCGACACGGTGAATCGTGAAGGACTGTGGAAGATCATGCAGAAATTCGGCTGTCCGGAGCGATTCACTCAGATGGTGCGTCAGCTGCACGTCGCTATGATGGCGCGAGTCACGGACAACGGAGTTGTCTCAGAGGCATTCACAGTGACCAACGGAGAGAGGCAGGGATGCGTGCAGGCACCTACTGTCTTCAGTCTTATGTTCTCTGCCATGCTGATGGATGCCTCCCGTGATGAACGCCCCTGGATCCGCATCGCCTACAGGACGGACGGTCACCTCCTGAATCAACGGCGGATGAACTTCCAATCGCGCGTATCCACAACCACCGTTCACGAACTCCTCTTCGCCGACGACTGCGCTCTGAGCACCACCTCGGAATAGGAGATGCAACGGAGCATGTACCTCTCCTCCGCCGCCTGCGAAAACTTCGGTCTGGTCATCAACACACAGAAGACGGTGGTCATGCACCAACCGCCACCCCACTTAGCCACACCCCCCAATGCGCCGCCGCCGCAAATCAGCGTGAACGGAACTCAATTGCAATTGGTGGATAAGTTACCGTACCTGGGCAGTACCCTCTCCCTTAGCACCAAAATCGAGGCAGAAATCGCCCACAGGATTTTGAAAGCCAGTCAGGCGTTCGGTCGATCCCAAAGCACAGTTTGAAATCGTCATGGTCTCCAACTCAGCGCGAAGCTGAAGATGTACAAGGCCGTCATCCTGTCACGGAGCAGAGACCTGGGCGGTGTACACGAGGCAGGCACGCCGGCTGAACCACTTCCACCTCACTTGTCTTCGTCGCATCCTGAGGCAGGATCGAATCCCTGACACCGATGTGCTGGAACGGACGGGAATCCCCAGCATATACACCATGCTGAGACAAATGCAACTGCGTTGGAGCGGCCACCTGGTGCGCATGAACGACAAGCGACTACAGAACGATTCTTCTACGGAGACGTCGCGACGGGTTCTCGCCGCCAAGGAGGCCAAAGTCGCCGTTACAAGGATAGTCTGAAGTCCTCCCTGAAGCGTCTGCAAAGTAACCCGACCAACTGGGAAGAGCTCGCACTCGACCAAACGACCTGGAGGCGGACAGTGAAAACAGGCGCTATATACGAAGCCAAGCGCATCGCCGCCGCCAAAGTAAAACGCGGAGCACGCAAATCACAGCTACGAACACTCCGCAACGCCGACACACAACCGCTTCCAACATGTCCTCGGTGTCAACGGGCATTCGGAGCACGAATTGGGCTTACTGGACACTTTCGGATAAACTGCACCTCTCGGACAGCCCCAGTCGTCGTCCCTCCGCCCGCCTCTTCCTCGTAGTCTCCGTCGCCAACTAACTCTGACTGCTCATCCGAACCACCACTTCCATCCTCTTCCTCCTCCTCCTGCACTGCCCCAACGACGGCCACTCTGGCGGCTGTCATGCACATCAACATCACTCACATACCTGACACAACAATGGACACCACGCCTACAACCTCCGACTCCAGAGGTGAGGACCAGGACTACACCAGCCCTCACTGCGATCGCACCTTCACCTCACACATCGGCCTGGTCGGTCACTTGCAAATGCAATGCACAGAGGCTGGCGAGCCAGTGTCTTGAGCACCAATCTACACCCGCCGCACTCGCCTCCACTCCCCTCGCACATTCACGCATCGCATGGGCCTATTCGGCCACATGAGCATACACGAGCGGAATTGACCGCAGTCCCGACACACGCACCACATCAACCATGCCCAGCCCCGCGCTAGCTTCATAGCCCTGTGCGCCCATCACCACCACCCCCCCTCCCCCCTGTAGCCGACACCGACATTGCCGACTTCGCATGCCCACACTGTCCCTGCACATTCACCTCTCGCATCGGATTGGTCGGTCACTTGCGGATCCATCGCACAGAGACTAGCGAACCAGTCCTTTATGCACCCACCACAATCGCTGTCACTGTCCACTCGAACATGTCAGCCTCCGCGCCCATTCCCCACTGCAGTCACCTGACCGGCTCGGACAGCAGCCGGGGTGTCGGAATGGGAAGGGAGAGTGAGGTCCAAGACTCAGAGCACTTCCTCCTCACTATCAACAATCTGACGCGCTTGAAGCTATCACGCTGCGCAAAAAGACGTGGCTTCGATGATTGTCGACAGACGGGATAACTTGGACCTCGCAGTTGGCCCAGTGTTTTGTGTGTTGCAGTTGTGGAGCGGCCGGCCGGTGGTCTGAGAGTCAGGCCACAATGGATCCTTTTTAATGTGGCCTTGATGGCACTCCCATTGTATGGGATCCGAGCCGGGCGTTGGCGGTACGCCTAGGTGCGGCTCTGGCCATTCCAGCCTCTTTCTCGTTGCTGTTAAAAAAACCTGGTTATCTGTTGTGTGGACCAGGGGGTGCGGGGTGGAGCGCCAAGGTGAGTATACGTCCAAGCCATCCACCTGCGACCTCCGTCGTCTCCGGTCTTCTTGACTCTGTCTTGACACCGGGCTCAGGCGGGGGAGGAGGAGATAGTGTGGTAGATGCGGCGCAAGTCTACTGGCACAATAAACCCCTTGCGTAAGTCACCGTCCCTGCTCCCACCACCTGCTGTGGAGCACATGATGGACATCGTCGGATGCGACGGTCGAAATGGCGTGAGTGTGTGTCTTTGCGAACAAATGGTGGCGAAGCCAGTTGGGGATTGGCCGAGTCTCTCCGAGGCAGATAAATTTGCGCAGAGATGAAGACCGACAGTAGTGTGGCAGGCGCAGGCGGGAGTGGCTTTATGGTAGGCCAGTTACGAAACGTTACGAACTCTTGCTACTTTCACAAGATGGGTGTGGAAACTGGGAGCGAGGTCAATGTTCCGCAATCCTCCAGTCTTCTTAGCCTAGCTTAGACACTATAAGACAGTGATTATGGGGGAGGGAGTCGATGTTGCGCACATTATCCTCACTATAAAGGACTCTATACAAGTAACAATTTTCTTTCAGAAGTAGTGGTAGTTCTTAACGTACAGGTTTGGACAACGTTGTCCCAGAACCGTCGGGACAGTGCAGGGCCGACAAGAAAAGCAAATACGCTGACGTACAAGGAAAGGAACTTTACTCGCATTCCCAGGGGCAACAATGCAGAATATTTAAAAGGTATATACCAACAGCACAAAGCTGACAGCGGAAAACAGAAGAAAAAGATTTCTGTGGGATATCTGGGGCAGGAAGAAGAGTTTTGGTGTTGGACGGGATTGAGACACCTAGCAGATGCTCACATGGCAACGCTCCATCCAATCAGGCGGATCCAAGTCCCGCAGGCCATTGATAACGTCCATAGCGCCTCGCAGAAACGGCGACAGCTAAAGGATGGGGGAAGACGTGTTAGTTCGAACCATCGACTTTAAGATCAGTTGACAGGGGATTACACAGGCCAGAGACCAGTGGGTCACCCGGCCTGCAAGTGGAGACTCTACCTTTAGGACCTCGAGAAAGGCGAGGGAAGCGGACGACTCAGTTGGAAACTCGGCATTCTCAAAAAGGGAGTCCTGGCTTGGTGCCGCGCCTTGAGAGGGATCATGGAGGCTCTGGGATTGAGAATAGGGCACCAAGGGGGTCAAACCAACGATCTGAAAGGAAGGGAAAATAAGTGATGGTTGGGGACTACAAGGACGATAGACACACGGCGTGCTGATGGTCCCCAACAAAGAAAAACAAGAGGGTCACGGTGGCCTCGACCAAAAAAGATGGACCCCTAACTGACATTTGTGACGAAGCCGAAATAAAGGTCGCTAAATGGATCACAGGAAAGAACTCCATCCAACCTGCCAAAGGGCAGGTTCAGGTATGCGGGAGACCGCTGTATCCTCTATAAGGCTGCCTAATGGACAGAGTAAGGACGACATTGTCTCCCGAATCGATGCTGCCCGCTGGGTTTTTTCAAGCCTTCGGAAATGCCTGTGGAACCGACGTGACCTCTCCATCGCCACTAAGATTCGCGTGTACCGTGCATCTGTCCGATCTGTCCTTCTCTACGGTTGCGAATGCTGGGCTTTGCGCGTGGCGGATGAGCGAAAACTGGAGGTATTTGACCACCACTGCTTGAGGATCATCCTTCGAGTGAAGTTAACCGACTTCGTCTCAAATGAGATAGTCCGCGCTCGCTGCGACAACATCGCGAGGATAACTCAGGCCATCCAAGAAAGACGACTGAGGTGGTTCGAGCATGTTCTTCGTCGTCCACCTCAGGAGCTCAGTGTTACTGCCCTCGATCCGGCACCGTTGCCCCATTGGAGGCGTGGAAGAGGGGGTCAGTTCAAAACCTGGCTCGACACTGTCCGTCAAGACATGGAGGTGGTTCTTGGACCTTCGGTATTCGGTCTCCGTCGTTGGCTAAGGGAATGGGTTGAGCTGTCTAGATCTGCTGCCGCGGATCGTCACGCGTGGAGAGGTACAATTCGGGACATCATCGAGGTCGGCTAGATCAGGCATGATCGCAGCCGTATCAAGTACAAGCAAGTACAAGGCTTCAGGTGGAGATCCACCGAGTCCCGTCAAAAGCGTCGGTTGGCAACTACAATTTCAGAGGCCGTAAGCAAGCAGCCTTGCATTACTTGGAACAGGATCGATGCATAGTGGAACATACTCTCTCGGGCGAGCATTTGCGTCAAATAGCTTCGTTAGGGAGAACCGTGGGGAATAATGCTTCAAGGGTGTAAACAGGGGATGGCGACGCGACCACAGTGGAAGTTAGCTCGCATGCTGGCAGATCCGAATTGAAAACAACTTTTTACCCCCAAATCCGTATCATAGAAGAAAAATCTCGAAAGGGCAAGCCAGTCTTCCCTGTTTACACCCCATGAGGGCCCCCGCAAACCCCCACCATATCACCCCATCGTGTCGCGTGACCTTTAGGAAGAAAAGCACAAGAGGCCATTAAACATAGAGATAAAGGCTAGGCAGAAGGTTCAGCCTTCAGAAGCTAAAGAGTGTGGCAGACACAGGTGTACGGATGGTAGCACGACGGACGCTGGGAGGTGGCGGGCACGTCACAGAGGATGTTGCTGCTAGTAGTGGTCAGATGGAGGTTATACAATTTTGGTGTGTAGACGTGCATGCCAAAGATGGAAACAGTAGGCCATTTCAATGACATCGGTCACTATGACCGGCTAATTTTCTGGACAACTTGTCAGCCATCTCATTCTGCAATTCGTATACGTGACGGATATCGGACATGAACTGAGGCACTGAGTCAGTTGGGGAATCTCCCTTGGGTTTCGTTTGTCTGTTTGGGACTGTCAACTAAACGAGAGGTGCCTGTTGTTCTTGGAGTTGGTATAAGCCCTACTCCCATGTCCCAGAAACCACTGAAATCAGCATTTGAAAGTGGCCAGTTACACTCTAATCGCCAGCAGCAATGCGCGACTGTCCAACGACAACAACAACAGGTCAAGCAGACGGGTAGGCATGACTCCTTAGAACAAAGGCACTGTCGCCGTTGCGGGAAGGGCCTGAATTAAAAGTTGCTAACTCCCTCCAAAGACAAAAACTGAGCGTCGAGGAGTGTACTGAAATTTTAGAAAGTCCAACGATAACAGACTGTAGTACCAGTGAGTGTCGCATGTTCCGTGGCCAGCGCTAAACCCATGTCCAGGATAAATGGTGCAATAGGGTTCGCTGGTACCGATTTCGTCATTTCTGGAGGCATTTCGATGCGGTACTTTAGGGATAATGGCGCTCAAACGACAACGAAAATTCGGAGGGTTCTGAGGACAGTTGACAAACCCAGCTTGATTTAGTAAGGAGAGCTGCGTAAACTATAGTTTTAGATTGTAGCGGACAGCCATCATAACCGGTCTGGCGTCATTGTTTAGGACCTCGCTGCCTCAAGGTCATTCACCCTTTTTCAGTGAGCTGTTCCAGACGCGCTGACTCGATCGACTTCGGCTCGGACACAATTGCTACCCATGCGCCACCCCCTGCAACCAGCAGAACAAGCCACTGGGACACCACCCCTCGGCAAATGCAACACACGCTGACTGGACACCACTCGAGCTTGGCCCACGAGCCTGCAAAAGCGGCTGCCACCACTATCTCAGAGACTCTCAGGCATGGCTGGACGCAGTCAACAGCAGCCCTGGCTTCGCCAGTGTCCACTGCCGCCTGAGAGGACGACTCCGGGTTCTGTGCACAATAAACCCCCTCATTCTGGTGCCTTCCGTCTTCTCCTTCCAACATGGGATTCGACGTGGTGGTTGTAGCGCTCAGATCACTTATTATCACTGCTATGCCGCAACAAGATGTACAGAATGTCTGTCCATGCAGGAATCGAAGTAAGCATGACAGCACAAATAAAATGGCGTTTGACAATAATCTTTTAGTGAAGTTTACATCCAAATATTCTTTGTGAATCCGAGTAATGTCAGGTATGGGGGGCTTGATAACAGCCTATATTCTGAGTACAGATTCCAAAACAGCTTCCCGAGGATTCGCAGTATTTTCTACGCTTCTGAAGTGATTGTGGTGAGGGTGAATAAGGCAAACAGGATTTTGCTCGACTTCGCCAGTAGGGACGTCATAGGAATATGCATTTTCATAAGGACGCATGTTGCCAGGCGGGTCAGTGATTAATAAATTTAAATAGGATTGACAGGTGTGCTCGTAAACATACCACTTTGTGTGTGTATATAACGAGGCCTTTCTGTTGGGAGCGCCTACACTCCCAAAAACAAGAGCCAGCCAATCACGAGAGGCCACGTGCGTTTTCCCTACTGCGCTGTCATCTTACTCGTGGCGCCTCTCCATTGGCTTTTCCTCTCGGGCCTGATCGATCAGCATATTCGAATTATCGACCGGCTCGTCTCGAATGTTCTTCCCGAAGGGCATTGGGTCGAACGCCGGCGAAGCACCGTGGGGCGTTATAAATACGCGTTACTTCCAGTTAATTTTGACTTGCAATTTCCTAATACACAGTTTCGTGGCCGGTCGCGTTCTCCTTCTCTGCCGCGTTGGTATTGGGGACAAGGGTCGAGTGCGCATACGCTCCACAGGATTTCACGTACCAGGCGGGTCATAACACTTTCCTTCTGTGAAATAAATTTGCCGAAGGCTTTTGTTTTGAATTACGCTAAGTGTACGTCGGTGTACAACCGGTGCAATAGAGCGGCAGAATTCTTGGTTCAAGCAAGGTAAGACTGCGAGCAAGTTTCGTCATTTCCGGAGGCATTATGGTGCAGTATTCGGGGAGGTAATGATATTCAAACTACAAAAGGCCTGGTAGGGCTCTGAGGACGGTTGATAAACCTAGCTTCATTTGATAAGGAACACCGTTGCCGAAATTCCTAATATTTTTGGGGTTTCGGAAAGACGAGAGGACAAGCTAGGAAAAGTACAACGTGCTAAGGTGAAGAACCGTGGATTAGATTGGATAAAACTGTGTCACCTTCGGACAGATACCATAACGTGCAGCGCACCAGCATTGAATCCCATATGCTTTGCGGAAAGTACAAATCCACGCACGGTCGAGTGACGGACTGAAGCACTTTGAGACCGGACAATTTCGCCCGAATTAGTACGACACAATCAACTGCACTTTTGCTCTTACTGTCACACAAGGGCTTGGTGATTCTCGGGCAAGTTATCGATCACTTATGTGTACATTGCAGGCATACTGACAGATACACAGGAGGGGCTGTACGCATTTCCGGCCTGTTTGAGGTCGTTGACCAGCTAACTAACGGCCAGGGCGGTTGAAAACGCTAACTAGCGGCACTCTCGAACCTCTCAAGTCCTCTTGACTACGATCAAGAGTGAGCATATGTCTGACAACCTGTCCACAAAACAGCAACAGCCTGTTGTCCAGTCAGTGAAGGAGGCTGCTTTTCGCAAAAAGGAAATGCCAAATGACACACGAGAGAGGCAGGAAGGTGGCATTTTGCTGCGAAGGACGAAGGCATCTTGATTTCTCAGACGATTGTAGAAGGTTCAGCGAGCGCCAGGTGGGGAAGACAAAGTTGCACTGCGGGTGGTCGACTAACGACAAGGTTGACTAATAAACAAGCGATGTTCAATCCGGCCTCTTGTTTCTGTATTTGTTCCAGATTATCTAATATGTAGATACGCCTGTGTAAACATTACGCGGCACTTTAGCTGAAAGTCGTGAAGGAGGAGACACGATTGTTGGGACGAGAGCTTTATTCGCCTGACGTTTCGTATTCCTGCTCAAACACATCATCAGAGACAATAGCAAATACGGGTGGCTAATGCATAAGGAGCTGCAGTATTTATAGGATGCAGTCGACGTGCTACTGCATACCTATGAATACTCCCAGCTCTCCCACTTCATCACGGATCGTTGCCCGTGGTGTGATGAATGTTTGATGGCTGACATTACCGTCGTTATTTGCCGCAATTTCATCACGTGCGTTGGATGTTGGTGTGATGATTGCTCGATCATCTGACCCACCGACCCTGGCGTTGGGAACAGTGTTCGACTGTACGCTCCCCGCGTGGTTAATAACTCCGCCTAGGCGAAGTCTCAGCACCGAGTATGGAATGGGAAGATCATTGCACTTATTAATGGACTGAGAGCCAGTAAGCCACGACTCAAGCAGCTCGCGGCTCACGCGGTCGTCACCTCTAGCAAGAATTTCGGCCTCGTCGAATTTGAACGTGTGGCTGGATCTCGTCGAATGAGTCGCAACTTGAGAGCTGGCGTTATTTCTCAGCACCGCTGCAGCGTGTTCGGCCATTCGCGTTCGAAGCTGTCTTCCGGTTTCACCGACGTAGTTGATTTGTCTGCAACTGCCCCAGATCCGATAAACGACTCCAGACGTTTCTAGTCGTGGCAGCGGATCTTTCGGTTTCATTATCTGACGCCTGATGGTTGCCTCCTGTCTGTGTAAAATTCAAATGACCACAATAACATGGAGACCAAGCCAGAGCAGTCCTGTCCTGAAGGCTTTACCCTATGACTGTTCCAGGACTTCTGACAAAGAACATAAACAATCACTAACGTGGGGCAAGTCTTGAATCCCGGTCAAAAGGTGTGTTAGGTCATGTGGTCGTCTGTGAATTTCGCTGAAAATTCACCCTGGTAGACCAACAGAGACGAGCGGAAGGAAGAAGAAGAAACAACAACCACAGGGCTCACTTCAAGTGGGTTAGGATGATCTTCAGAGGGCTGAAGATTGAGTGGCTCCTGTGTTGGCTGTCGAAGACGCCGGGAGGAGGGGCGACGGAGAAGACGCAGGACTTCATCTGGTAGAAGAGGCACAGTAACAGTATCGAGGGTGGACTCAAAGCACTCTGACCGGAGAAAACTGGGATGTTCATTCAAGGCCGCCAGACTAATTTTTGGGGCCTGGCCTGGCTCGATGAGCTCGTCATCCGAATACACGTACATGGCCAGCGGTCCCTGACCTGTCTCCTCGAAGCTTTCGTCCATGTCTAAGAAAAACAAAACCCCGCTGTGGACACTTTATGTGACCAGCAAGTTTAAAGGAAGAAGACGCCGGGACTTGCATACATGTGGATGCGCTTTATTTTAGTACGATACCTCTGAGAGATGTGAAACGTGGGTAGAGAAAGTGTGTATAAAAAATATAATAGGTGTGGGGGGAGGAGGGGAATCTTCGAAGAGAGTCCGACGTCCATTAGTTGACTGTGGTCTCTTTGAGCCGTGTCTTTCGCGCGGTTTCCAGAGCGACAACAGATCTCCAATGCTCCTCAGTTGGCCGACTTTCACCGTAACTCTGCACGTAAAGCCTAGGAAGACAAGGAGGACGAAGAAGAGCACACCGATTGAAATACAGACTGCAAGGCAGATGCTAATTCCTTCCTTTTATCAACAGATAGTGCGTGACATGGGGGGGGGAAATTAAGCCGGGGAGGGTCTCGAACCCAGGCATTCCGGTGAGGTAGACAATGCTCTACTAAGTACGCCACAGGGTACACCAATAGGAAATCAATTTACGCAATGAAAACTTGCTTTAAGAGACAGAGCATAACCGCGAAGTCCTCCGCTTCTATGAATGTTGATTTTTCTTTGCGCCAATTCACGAAATCTCGATTGACAACCTACAAGTAAAAAGGACACATGAGGAAACAATCGGCAAAGTTGAGAGATCCGGGAAGATTATTTGGAGAGAGCAGACGTTGGGCGCCCAGACGACGGCCAAATGAGGAGCAACCCGAAGTCTGGAGGGCCATTCCCTACGTCAAAGGGGTCTCTAAAGCGGTCGCGCGACTGTTAAAACCCACCAGAGTAGGCATAGTCCATCGACCCCATGCAACAATTCGACGTCACCTGATGCAACCCAAGGACCCATTGCCACCCGCTGAAACCTCAGCAGTCATTTACAAAATAAATTGCAATGAGGTCGACTGCAACTACGTGGGCGAAACCGGACGGAAATTGCAAACTCGCCTAAAAGAACACAAATCGGCCACTCGGAGGTTAGACCCTAACTTTCAACTAGCAACACACGTTGAAGAGAAAGGGCATACTTTTGACCTCCAGAGGACTACCATCTTAGGCCGAGGCAACACAAAAGCAGAACGGCTAACTCTCGAGGCGTGGTTCTCCGATGCCCACTCTATCAACAGGCATCTGGACCTTCCTGCAGCCTACAAAGTCCTACGTCATCACAATCCTAGAGCTCAGGACCAAACAACCACACCGGACTTAAGAAGGCCCTACGGAGACAGCCTGACGCTGAGTTTACTCGGTGAGGAAGAACAAGATCCGCCAGACCGACCGCCCGACAGAGGTTCACTAAGCTCCGCTCGACGGAGTGGTGACTCACAACGGACGCAGACGAAACGCCCGTCAACCATCCCCGAGAGACCGAGGCAGCGAGAGGAGAGAAAAGTCGATCAGCATAAGGCCGACCAACACAAGATGCCAGTTTAAACTAAACTTCTGATCGATTAAGTGCATTTAAGCTTTGACAACAAAGAGCCGACCCAGCTCTTTGAAACGTCAGCAGTGAAATAAACCTGTTCCGGAGAGCCTATTTTCTTCTTCAAATGAGGAAACAATCGAAGAGAAGCGCAGGAGCGTGTAACAGCTAGCCTGGTGGCTGGGTTGAAGCATGTGTGGCTTTGTGGAACTCAGTGAAGGCACCGTGGCAATCACGAAACGTAAATGTTCCCCAGCCATTTGCTCTGCGGCGAAAAGCTGGAAATCGCTGGCATTGCGGTACCGATATGCAAACGACATGTTTACCACAAGGAAAAGGGTAGGCTACCATGCCTTCCAAGACCCTCGGCAGAAGCCTCTCCTCGGTCTCGGGTAGAGGTAGAGAAAGAAAAGCCATTGCCTTGGCCTCAACAGCATGGAAAAGACAATGACAGGCTACCAACAAGACACAGAACCACAGCCGCCACAATAAACATCTCGCGGGAGCGGTGAAGCCAAGACGTGTTAACACTTTGGTCATGAGGACCGAAACGCATTAAAGAGAGACGGAGGAAGGAGTACAGCAAGTTTGTCATCTACGTGAGAAGACGGCAGGGAAAGGCTAAAGACGAAGTCTTCATCGGCAAACCTTTTCAACAACTGCCTGATGGCCATCGTGGGACCGGCGGCCTGCTTGGGTCGCAGGTCGGAAGGGGAGATGGAAATCGGTACACGCCACTTCTGCGTAACTGAATACTCCCGAGCTCAGCTGGTATGATGCGAGTCCTTAGTGCCCCTAATACGAGCCACGCAGTAGATGCGCCGGACTAGGTCGGAATGAGCACCAACATTTGGGGTGTGGCGGCTGGCCCATTTGTCTGCTCACGTCGCGCCAGTGGGGGCCCGTGTCGAGCCCCAGATTTCCTTCGTGTATAAAATCCTGGTCAGTGTCTGTTTTGGGTGCGGGTTCACTCGCCCTACCAGTCACCTGCGTTCTCTTTCGCTTCCTGTCTTCTTAACTAGGTTTTGACACGGAACCAGGAGGGGGAGAAGGATTGCATGCAGTAAATGCTACACAAGTCGACTATTACTATGAAAGAATCCACGCACAAGTCACCTTCCCTGTGCTCACCCTGCTATGGAATACAGGGCGAACATCGTCCGTCAGGACGGTCGAACTGCCGGGTGGGAGGCGATAATAGTTTGATCGCGGAGAAGCAGACACGATCGCTGGAAAAGTGCTTTATTAGCCTGACGTTTCGAATTCTTACTGGAATCCATGATCAGAGACAGAGTCAGATAGGGTAGTGGATTGATCAGGTGTTGCAATATTTGTAGAATATAGTTGCTAGGCCGCTACATGCCCATCACAGTTGGCAGCTCCCGAGTGCATCACAGCTCGACTGGCCAACTGTTGAAGTAAGCCGTTGCCATACAGTTGATATGCGCCCGCATGCCGGTCAAGATTATCGGCTCTCACGCTCATCGCACGCCGCCGAGCGGCTGACTACCGGATTTCGTTATCCGTGTGGACCCTTGGGTGATTTGGCTTGCCCACATTGATATCGGGGGGCAGTGGTTATCCGCACGTCCTCCTCGTTGCGCCTGTTGCTTGAATGAGGACCGGAAAAGCATGACTCGAGCAGTTTACGGCTCAGGCGGTTGTCGCCTCTAACAGGAAGTTCTGCTTCGTCAAACATGAATGTGTGATTGGGTCCAGCCGAATGAGCCGCGACTTGGGAGTTGGCGTCGTTCCTCCTCACTGCTGCCGAGTGAGGAATAGGCACCGACGATGTCTACCGTGTGCTCCCCACAGCAAACTGCAAGCAGGCACGGTGACTTGTGCGTAAATTAGTTTTTAGTGGCAGCGGACTTTCACAGCATCTACCGCACTCTCCCCTCTTCCCTCATCTGGGTCCGGTGGTGTCAAGACATAGTCAAGGCGAACGGAGGCCGAAGAGGACGTAGGTGGCTGGCACGACGAGTGAACCCGCTCCTAGGCGTGTCACCACACTTCCTGGTCCGCAACAGACACTGACCAGGATTTTGTACACGGATAAAACTGGGGGGTCGGCACGGATCCAGCACATGTGCCGACAAATGGGCCAGCCGCCACACTCCCAGACGTTGACACCTGTTATGGGTGCGTATTCGGTTAATGGCAGTACATTTACCGCGTAGCCCGTTTTAGGGGAAATGCTGGGCGATAATGACGACGGCAAATAAACCAGAAATGGTCATTGCAGTGGTCTCGTGCTTGCCAGTAAAATTCCTGAATTAAAAAAACCACCCAGTAGTGGCATTTACTGGGAAGATAGAGAACGGGCGTAGGTTCCACAATTAACTCGATACAAAACATGCAATAAGTGGATAAAGGCAATAGAACGCCGAAGTTGACGACGCTAGTGAGCAGTAAATCGTAAAATAGCCCTGTATTCAGGAAAAATTACGGAGACTGACCTCTTGTAGATCTGGTTCTATAGAATAGTCCTCTCCTGTCTGTTGAACCTCCAGCAGATAGCGCCTTATCTGCCACAAATCTGATTCTGACGGGGCCACCTGAGAGGTTCTGGTGGTGGTTTCCGTGGACGGCTTCCATGGGACAGTCAGCACAGGCTGAGAGAGAGAAAAACACAAAACGGAAACATGCGATTAACGAAATTTCAGTACAGTTAGTTGTGTTGATACATGCGGAAAGACGAATTCAAGGAGGCAGTTGAGGAGGATGTACGATGAATGAAACAAGAATTTTATTTGCCTGGCGTTTCGGATTCCCGTTCGGACCCATCTTCAGAGAAAGTAACAGATAAACTGGCGGATACGCATGGGACCTATCGCTACCAGAGAACTACTCATGCAGTGCAAATAAGGTGAAACGCAGAATTACCGCTAACACACCCAAATCACACAAATCCTGAAGTCCTGTCTCAAGACATACTTCACACACGACGGAAAAAACTACGAGCAGGTGAGAGTCCCGTCAAAGGGGTTGGTCGATCACGGGACTCATAAGCGAGTGGTCCCAGCAGCTGGTCAGGGTTATGATTGGCAGAATGAACGAAGAATAGGCCCGAAGTAGTACCGTATCATTCTACCCGCATTCTCTGTCGTCCCTGCCGTCTGTTATACATATGTATATATTTTGAAGGCAAGTACGTTTTAGGGAAAAGTAGAAACCTTAGTAGGTAAATTTTCGACGCTGGTTTCCCGAGTCGTCGTCAGACTTGAGTAAATGTGTAAAAAAGTTAACATCGCAATCGTGCGAGTGAGTTCCGTAACGCGATCGATGCGCGGCCCCTCTACCATTGCTAATACAGTAGGTGGGCTAACTCATGAAATGTCGATCGAAATTTCGAAATCCGTTCTCGTTTCGAAAAGATTAATGAAGTATGGTTGTAAAACTAATCACCGTCCAGCATAATTCTATAATGACCCAGTCACCTCAGGGTGTCTTCTTTCGAAAGAACGTATTTCCGATTGCATGCAAAAACCATACTCTGCAAAAAAATGATTACTTAAGTAGCATGAAATTTCCTCATTGATTTTAGATGCCCTTAAGAGTTTAATTATATTTCATGAAAAAATGCATAAAAATATTCATTCTTTTATTTATTCGGTAGAAAATCATGTCTTATTTCAATTTTATACTTGAATAAGGAGTATAATTTGGTTTCGAAAAAGTTTCCGATTGTGAGATTTTTAAATACCGTAAAATGGCCGTTCATAAAACGTCATGTATATGCATCTACCAATGTGACTTGTAAAGTCAACAATATCGCTCAAATCCACTGCTTAGTTTTATGAACCCCAGATGGTCTCTTCTTAATACCGTACAGAAATGTATGGTTTTCCGTACGCGGAAAATATACGGCTTGTAGTTTGGAAACCCTGAATGCAAGTATAACAGCAGGTCAGGTTCAAAATTATTCGGGAATCAGAAAAGTTTTTAAAAACCGCATAATACCCTTCTTTCGAGCATAAAATTGAAAGAAGACGTAATTTTCTACCGAATGAGCAGAATAGTGAATATTTTTATGCATGAATTCCACGAAATATAATTAGACTTTTAGAGACATAAAAAATCAATGGGACGGTTGCATGCTACTTAAGTAGTCATGTTTTTCAGAGTATAGTTCTCGCATGCATTCGGAAATAAGTTCGTTCGAAAGAAGGCATCCTGAGGTGACTGGATCATTATAGAATTCGGCTGCACTATGATTGGTTTTACAACCCTACTTGATTAATCTTATCGAAACGAGAACGGATTTCGAAATTTCGGTTGACATTTCATGGGTTAGCCCACCTACTGTATACCCGGTTGCAACCGACAGGCAACGAGCCCGTGGCTTAGTAGTTAGGGCGCTAGACTTCCAACTAACAGATTGCTAATTCGAACCTCGGCGGTTGCATACCTCGGGCTTGGGTATAGCTGGTTGATGACGGTCAACAAGCCGGGGGCGATAAAGCAGTCATCGCACCCAGTACGATCATGGGTGATGAACGTGCGAGCCGACAATTTTGATATGCAGGTGATTGAATGGCAACTGTAGCCTATAAATACTACAACCTTCTAGTATCCGACAACCCCATCTATTGCTCTCTCTCTCCCCCCTCTCTGTCTGGTAGTGGGTTCGAGAATCTGAAACGTCCTGGTAAAGAACTCTTGTTTCAGCGGTTGCAGTTCCATTTCCTGTGTTAATTGTGCTTTGGACATTTTTGGACCGAGTAACTCATTGAGCGATCAACCTAAGATCCCTTAACCAAAGCACACTTTGGGGTCAAACGCTTACCTTGATGATTGATGCGCAGGTGGAGAGGATGAGGACACGTACATCACTGTCCCAGTCCTGGCTGTAGAACTGGAAGTCATATGTTAGTTTACGCTGAGTGGCCAACATGGTCAGCGCACGACAGTTAAGCACACCACGAGAGGTCAGTTGGCCACTTGACATGTCCGTTTCATCGACTATCACCTAAATTGGGGTTGGTAAGAAGATGCGTCTGACAGAGGCAATGCTAGTTATTGCAGAAAGACAGCAAATTTTACATAACTCGGCAGGCAATATACAGGTTTGGTAACCAGTCCATCTTTGTCAATGGTCGCGATTCGTTTGGCTACCTTCGGAGGTCGGTTAACGCTTGGTCTGTGGAGCGAAACTCTGGCCGGACAAAGGGTCCACACGCTAGAGCAGAACGCCCAATTGCTAGGACTGGGGAATTCGTCGGTTGCCGAGGAGGGCTCGGCATGGATAACAATCCTTTAATTGGAAATTTTCATCAAGTTTCTTTTGGTCCTTGGGTACAGACGCAGCCTCCCCCCACCCCCAACAGCCATCAAGAGGGTTTTTTCACGGTGGTCACTGCTAGTTCTTCCACTCGAGAAAAAACTAGACTGTTGAGAGGCGATGACATGGCGGCTCATAGTCGACATGCCACAGTGCCGTCATCGGGTTGTGAGGAATTTCATAAGATGGTCCGTGTGCCAGACCTCGATCCTCCACGCCCTGGTGAAACACTGGCGGTGTTGATTCGCGATCGCTCATTCGTCAGATCCGAGAGCCTGCTTAGATCACCATCAACTTTCGCTGAGGCCCGTTGCACCATCCGTTGTCCGTAGGTGCACACAGTTAGTATAGTGGTTAAACATGTCAGTGGTTTGGCCGAGTTTAACCTAAGGGGGTACACACCGGTGTGACTGTCATTTGACAACGAGTTGGCCGTCTTGTGGCTATAGGACTCTCAGGTTCGACCCAGGGGTATTGTGTCATGAATGGCGGCACAAGACACCCAGATGTCCCACTCTCCCCTGACTTTGTCTGTCTTTCTCTGCTACTCCAAACGTTGAAGGTTAGAAAATTCAGATGGGGAGTGATTCGTCAGAGAATACTTCAAAGTCTCTGCTCCTTCTTGTTTTTGTTACGACTGGCTGTCAGTCGTTCTGCAAACGAGCTCAGTCAGGACGAAAACTGAAGTTAAGGCAACAAGGAGTGTCGTTGCACGAGGCTGGACTGACTGTCTGACGACGGCTGCGCGGCTGCTCTTTGGGCTCAAAAGAGAGCCCGTAAGGCACAACGGAAGGAGTGAGTTCCGTAAGAACGATCAGTGCGCACTCCCTACCATTGTATATTCCCGACCAAAAAAACCGACAGGACAAGAGGCTCGTGGCCCAGTGGTTAGAGGCGTGGACTTCTAACAGGTCGCGAGTGTTCAAGGCTCGGGTGTTCCACACTTTGGGGCTGGGTATGACTGGCTGATGACTGTTAATAAGCCAGAAATGACCATTCCGATCTCCCTTGTCTTTGTCGGTAATACCATTCTGCCTGTATATCATGCGCCGCTGTGCGGCTGCTGGTTGGGCTCGAGAGAGAGCCCGTAAAGCACAACGGAACGAGTGAGTTCCGTAAGAACGATCGGTGAGCGCTCCCCAGTCCTCGTCGGTCTGGCACATATGCTTAGTAATATTGAGATGCAAGTAAATCGCACCGTTGCGCAGGCATACCACTTGATGTTCTCCGGCGTCCGGCGGTCAATATACACAAAACATAAAATTGAAAGCTTTTGTCCCTCCCGTAAGTGGGATAACAGCCGGCTGGCCGAAGTCACTGATTGCGCGTTTTCAGACGCACAATTGCAGCAGAAGACACAGAGGAGTGAAAAACCAACCTACCTCACTGCCGGTCGGCAACTGCAGTAAGCCCGAATCCAGTTCGTCAATAGCCACATCACGGACGGGCATGAGGAGGGGACCGTTGTTCAGGGAATCGACAGTCAAGGGAATAAGAGAAACCTGGGGTAGAATGCAGTGCAGAGACTGTATCAGACGTTCCGTATCCGCGCCAAGTTTCTTTTCCCAGTGTGAGATGTTCAGAGGGGGCAGGGTGATAGGAAAGACTGAGTCGCTTGTGACGGCACTGAAAGGGAGAACACACACAGTAGCAGGATAGGATATGAAAACATGTTTCCATACTCTGAAAGTGAGAGGACGGTATAGGTGGCGTACTTCGATATTGTGTGTCTTTCTAGTGGGACTCAGAGGGGTCTAAAGAAAGAACGACTAACACTACGAATGTCCCCTTAACGGGGATATAGCTGATATCGCCTGATGGCCATGATGCGCATTGGCATCACGGACAAGTGTTGCTAAGGCTCCAAGGTCAAAGACTGGGTCTTTGGCAACCGGTATCGAACTGAGATTTCAGCCTCGGGCCTCAACATCTGGAAGACTCACTACAACCTTGTGTCCGTCTTTCTAGGCTGACCACGAAGGCGAAGGCAGCAGTTTGGAGGAAGGTTGAGAGGAGAGCGTTGTAGACTACGAATCAAAGTACAACGGAATAATAACGCCTACTTATGATTAATTAGTAAACATGTTAGCGACCATACAAATGGAACTGATGTGATACTAAATGCAGAGCTACTGCCTGTCAATAATGTTCGCAAAGACCGCAGTCTGCAACCGTATGTAAGAACAGCCTTAAGTATGGCCTCGTACACTGTGTCTATTTGCGGTTGGATATCGTCTAGAGACCCGAAACACTTCCATAGTTGACACAACATGCTGCATGCGATCCAAATGAGATAATTTATTCCTCAGACACTGTCCCGTCGCAGCCCCAGAAGCTCAGAAAGGCAATGTAGAAAAACTTTTCATCACTCTTAAGGAAAAAAGGCACCATTTGAGGGGGACTTTGATCCTCACAGCGGGCATTTACAGATAAATCTTGCACGATTCGCCAACTAGGCGGATGGAGCTCCAACCGAGTGTACTTCCTTTTGCCTTGGAGCTTTATTTGACAGCGCTCAAAGGCGCTCACAGCCAATAGTGGTCAGCAATATTTTTCCGAGACTAAATGTTCCCTGAGAGAGATTTCATACTGGACGATGGCATTAGCATGGCCAGAGTTCATGAGGGAGGTTCCGCCAAACTTGGGCATCCGTCGTCGAGTGCAGAAGTTAACATTATATGCAGGGCACAATCAGATACTGCTGACAAGACTATGTGATCGTGTCAGAAGCTGGTCCTAATTCCACAAAACTGGTTGTGAGGCCTAAATCGTGTTAGCCGAAGACACGATGGGACCTTCGAGGCCATACCACCGGTCCTGAGGGTGTTCTAAAGCATCAAACACTAAACAGAAATTAAGGAAGCAGTCGTCTTCTTTTGCGGTTAACATCCCTGTTTCACATTAATTATCCGCCCTACTTTGCTAAATTTGAGCCTAGTAGTCATCTGGTGGATTCTAGGTGAATTACTTAGGAAATCCTGCTTGGGCAGTCAACTTACTGTATCAAATTTGGTGGATTCAAGACGTTGCAGTAGGTTGGGCGGGTAACTTGACCCAAGTGTGATAAAACTCGCGTCGTCCGGCGGGGCCTCGTAGCTCAGGTGGTTAGAGCGTTGGCTGTACTAAAGCCTTCCCCCTTACTGCGTGGGTTCGAATCCCACCGCGGCACCGAGTTTTTCACAGTTGGGTCAATATGAATTATTCAAAGTCTGCCAGAATATCAATATCTTTCATGGATGTTTTGGCAGATTTTGAATAATTGATATTGACCCAACTGTGAAAAACTCGGCGCCTTCCCCTTACTATTGTGGGTTTGAGTCCCACTGAGACGCCGAATTTCACACAGTTGGGTCAATAGGAATTTCTGCGCCTTATCTCTAAAGAGCACTCAGTAAAAAGCAAAACGGACAGCCAGCCCCAAAGTCTTCTAAACATGTCTGCTTAATGTTGTTGTCAGATAGTGTGGGGATGTCCCATTGGCCACTACGCAGAAAGTCGTAGCAAGACTAACCGCCACAACGTTTTTTCCCGCTTTCACGTCTACTATAAGAATGTTAGTAGAAAATTAAAACAGGATAAAATAGGTGAATAGGGCTAGTTGTCCATTTGATGCAGTTAGGCCATACCTAGTTGAAAGCAGATGAAGAAGGAGAAACTCAGCGGCAAGTTCGTCTCCAGACAAGACTGATCGGAGAAATTCAATAACACGAGCCCGAGTAGCGATAAGCACATCTCTGGAATCCCAGCCGCCCATCGTCTGCCCTATCAGGAGGGAAAGACGAAGTCAAAACAAATTTCAACAGTTCACTTGAAGTTTTTGCAAAAGCAGAACTCAGCAATAAACGGCTTTTACAAAAATTTAAGGAAGGCGGTCTGGTCATTAGGGAAGAGTTTTTGACCCACTCGTCATTTAAGTGGGAAAGGGCTGGGTAAGAACAGGTGTGGAAGTATGAAAAAATTATCAAAACCTAAATTATGACTTTTGAACAGTGTTTAATGAGACCTAACTGGACCATGTCTTCAGCAGGATATCCTTGAAGAAACTACATTTACTTCTATAGGTAGTGGTTCGTTCTGAGAAACTAGGGCAGGCCCTTATGCAATGGATTAACATGGGCATAGATATTCTTTAGGAAGAACACACACACGACTTAAGCAACAGACAGACTACAGTGTAAAAGAACGTCATTAATTTAGTTTAAACTGAATTCCTCAGTTGTATTACGGACAGTCTCTCTCTAGGGACGCAACTTTCTTAATAATAGTTGGCCAGTCCATACATTTAGGGTGTTTAAGGGTGAATGAATCCGCACAAAATTGGGGCAAAAAAGGAGCTAATGACTGTGAGGAATATAAAATGGGATGGAAGACGGGAGTAAATAAGGGAAGTAATATTGCTTACACTTTACTTGCAGCCATGGATGATTGGAGAAGTGAGACCTCTCCACGAGAATGGCGTGAACCCGCGGTAGACGGCGCTTAGCTGAAGAGCAACTGAGAGCCTTAGCTGCTTCATCACCGGTTTTCACTGCATCAACCGCCGGTTCACTGCCCAGGCGTGCGTGCTCGAGGATGCCATAAACAAATACCAAGTCGGTGAGTTTTAGCTTTTCTGCGTCCTTCTCATTATAAACCTAAAAGTTGGTGAGGGACATGCATCAACGGCTGGGGGTGTTTACGCGAAGAAGAACGCCGTTCTTCTCATTTGTCGCGGTTGTGTCGGTCGACTCTTCATCAAATTTGGCGTCCGACAAGACCTTCTTTACCGGTATGTGGGTCATCTCGGGATCAGACAGACAACGCTTACTTCCAAGTGCTGGTGAGGCGAGAAAGAGCCTTTCTGGTTGGGTGGCGTGCAGATGAGCAGTGGGTTAAGGACCAAATCGGGTAAGACAGGATATTATCACACCACCATGCCTACTTAATTAAATTAGTAACCAAGTAATTAACATACGAACCCAGAAAGAACTTTTGGACTGCCTTTAGTACGCACCTAGTCAGTTATTATTAATTCAGTTAATTCAGCTGAGACGTTATTAATGGCAAGGCCAATTACCATACTGTAATCAGGAAAAGCAGGCAAGACAACGGCTTATCTGCCGTTGTCAGCCACTCTTAATCCAATCCCAAATCCCGCGAATTACAGGAATGAACTCAGCTCAGTTGGTCATTGAGTTACGGGGTTGTGTCCTCGCGAGTGAAATCAGGAATATTCAAAATCACATTAGAGCGACATCTGCCGATTTGCCTTAATTACAGGACGCGATGTTGGCCTAGGAGCTAGGAGGCGCTCAGCAATAGATAAGTAATATCAGGAAACGGCGAGAGAGACTAGAAGAGTCAGTTCTACCTCTTACCGTTGTTGATCGGTCATACCCCAAAGAGAACGTTTTTGTTCAGTAGTGAAGTCGGAGGGGGGTGGAAAAAGAATACCAACTGCACGTGATGGTGGTTGGCAGCGGCCGAGCTCTAGGCTCCATGGTAGAGCGTAGAATCAGTGATCGGCTGGGTCCGGAATCAAACCTCGTGTTCGCTAGGCTTAGGACTCGGAATATGATTGGCTAACGACAAAAAATAATCCAGAAATTGTCATTCTAGTCTCCCTGTCCCTCTCGTTAATGGCCTTCGAGTACTGATTGCTAGTGGTCGTGTGACCCCTTGAGATGAGTTGGGGGCGGAATTCCAAGGCAAAATGAATGGCCCATATTCCGTTTCGTAATAAGGAAGTTCGTGAATGTGACTTTTAACTAACAAGTAATTAAGTGTGCCCAGCTATAAATTCCCCACAAGAGGCGATAACCAAGCAGAGATTAGAAATGCTTCCATGCATACTCAAAGGTGGGCATTTTGACCAAATGAATAATAGGTTAGACGGATAAAGGATATTTGAATCCAGGACGATTCGCCGGGGATGTGTGACACATAAAATGACTGTCTGCTCGAAAGGGTGATGCTTGCCTCGTCAAGACTTCCATCAGCCTAAAAGGGCAACAGAAAAGGAATAGGCACAACCTTCTAAAAGGATAAATTATTGTGTTGTAAGAAAAGACGAAAATGCTAACGAAAAAACACCGACTATCAAGGCGTCTAGCCTGTCCCTCGGCCTAACGCTGCGTAGTATTGGATGCTGCAGTTCGGCAGCAGTAAGCGACAAAGTCCACGACCGACCAACAAAAAAGGAGCAATGATGACTTGCGCGTAAGGTCATTTATGCTGCGGGTTTGCATTCTGTCTACGTATAGGAGAACAAGGCGACCGGACATAGGCCAGGGGCTACTGGCTGATGGGCTCTAACTGCACATTTGCACGTGCAGTACAGGATACGATCCATGACACTCCACGTATGAGACTCCAACGATTGTCAGAGGTCGAAAAGTTGAGAGGTACCATAAAGGGTACATTTAAATGGTGCCATTGAAGTCCGACTCTCATTCAGAGGAGGACGACTTAGCTCGTCAGTTAAAGACATTACCAGCCAAGGTATTTAGCGCGTCGTGGCAGTTAAACGCGAGAACAGTAGGTGTCTGATCTGAGCTTGATTGGCTTCACCCTCTTCTTTCTTTCACATGTGCCAGTGACCTATCCGAATCAAATCGACTGAGAACGAGATCGGGCGCCGTGGTTAACGTAACGTGCATTTGACGCCTTATAGGCCACTTAAGGGCGCAGATTTCGCAGAAGCGCGATGTGCTAAAGACGTCACACAAAGGCACAATAGCAGTTTGCCCTTCGTTTAAAATAACGACTAAGTTCTCCTATTAACAGGTAGCCCTATAAACCACGACTTTTAGTGCAGGCTGACAGTTTCGACCTCGTCGGATTAATTGTAGTGGGAAGCGACCAGGACAACCATTGATGCTTCAGTACCGGTCTCACGTCTTCGTCCTTCACCCATGCACCAGTGGCACCTCTATATCAACACCCAAAGGCTGTCCCCCTGAAACCTGCTGCACTGCTCTGATCGTCTCCTAGGAAGAGGGCAGATGCTCAAGGTCAGTATTGCTGTCACGAGAAAAATTATGTTGGTGGTTTTTTTTACAGATCACGGATTGGTGGTTGGGCTTGACTCCGGTGTTTGGGTGGCCACCTACACGCCTGCAGCACCTTTAACCAGATAATATTTCCAGACTGTGGTCGGCAAACAATAACGGACAACCGAAATGCGTACAGAACCTTCTCCCTTTGCTACAGGTCACACTTTCAAGTGGATCCCTTCGCATTATAAAAATTAGCCTTTTTTACACTACTGTTCCGTTTCGCTGCTAGCCAAAGTTTAGCATCTTTAGCCACAACAGGTAGGTTGCACAATGCACGCAAAATAACTTTTGTCGACACCAACCTGCAGATATTCAACATCGCGATAGCGAGTGGATTTGACAGAAGTCGCCTCAGCTGAGGGTCGATACGATGAAATGTAGAGCTCCGAATCGAACATGTCTTGGATCATACCGCGTACACAGACCAGATGACCGTCCGGAATGTGTGGCAGAGTGTCATCTGTGACAAGTGGGATCTACACAAGGAAAAGTTACAAAACGAGAGGAACAAGAAAATACTTACGATTGCGCCCGACGATTCAGATATCTTTGTTCTGATAAAATTCTCATAAGCGTCCAGGGGCAACGCGGGTGTGGCGGAGGGGTCTATGTATTGCGTATGAAAAGACAGCAACTTACGAAATTGCTTGTCGTACGTGTCCCGAGGTGCTGTGAGCCATGAAAGGTCTTCCATGTTAAAGTGGTACTAAGAGGCCTGTAACAATAAATAGACTCTTAAGAACTGGTTATTTCAGTGGGACAAGTATTTGCGGTATGGGGAGAAGGCATCTCGAGATTGACACAGGGAAGGTGCGGAAAACCATGAAAGTCTACCAATCAAAATAACTGTTAAAATTCAAATGTAAGTTAACAAGAGACAGCAGGGAAAAATATGTCGCGGCACTTCGGCAAACTCCGAAGAACACAGAGGGACAGATAAAACCATCACTGACTGCATCTAAACGCTGTATTTTACAGGGCAACGGGCTCGTGACCCGGTGGGTAGAGGCGTGGACTTCTAAACCAACAGGTCGCGAGTTCGAGGCTCGGGTGTTCCACACTTCGGGCTTGGGTATGGCTGGCTGACGACGGCTAATAAGCCAGAAATGGCCATTCCAGTCTACCTTGTCTTTGTCGGTAATATCATTCTGCCTAGATTCAATTTGGTTAATTAGGAGTCAGTGGCGGAGGCCACTTGTTACAAATCTGTTTTCACCTATATCACGCTACCTTCGGTCGGATGTGACAAGAGTCACATTTTAATTCGGGACCTCCATGCACTCAAACGGAGATCGTGAACACTATTCGGTCGGCAGCTCGAACGCTCATAAACGTTTCTAGGAAAATGGATGATGGACCTCAGCAACAGTTAAGTGATCACATAACTTTACCCAGGATGTGGTAGGATGATTCCGAGGTAATGTCAATGGCTCCCACAACTTAAATAAAAACGACTTTCGGGCACCTACGCATCAAATAAGCTGAGCTGTCCTTGATTAATTTAGGGAGAAAATGTAAAAAACACATGAGGAGAGCTGGCCGCTGCGAACAAATATAGCGAGGTTTCCACACACGGAAGAGCGAACATTGGGTGGACCTTTTATCAAAAGACGACTTGACGTAGGATAGAGTTAATGAACACCCTGGCTGTTATTATTCAAATGAGCTAAAAAGGTGTTATGTGGAGCCGAATTGGCAATCAGAGACGTTTCACAAGTCTTAGATAAGGGATAACGACAGTTTAGGATGATGCGGTGGGGCGAAAATGGGCTCACATATAGCGGGCGAGTCATTTAGTGCGGAACCTACGCAAATAAGGACAGAAGAGATGATTGACGTACATTTTACTGCTTGCTAAAAGTCAAATGCAGTTCAGAGCTAAAAGCCTTGAAGTCAGCAAAATCAGACATTTTTGCATTTATGAAAAGAAGAAAATCAGAGGCTACATTTCAAAATTACGACGGCCGGAGAAAATCAGCTAGAAAAAAAAACAAAACAGATGCGTTTTTTCGCCGCAGATGCCTCTGACAAAGAGATATTAACGGTTTACGTGGAGGCGGTTAGGGGGGACATGTAATAACCGTTAAAGAGCCGTACCGATCGTGAGGGACATTTTGGTCTAAAGTCGATTCCTTATCAGCCATCTTAAGTGTCATTCTTAAAGGTGATTTCACTTACGAAGCAAGAAAACATGACGGAGAAAGATCTATTTAATAGTATACTATTAGTATACAAGGCATTTAGGCCTTGTAAACAAAAGCATAAGTAGTTTTTAGGGCAGTTGCAGTGGCATCTGCCAGTTATGCCATTTCATTCGAGACGTTTACACGGTGGCAATATCACAATAAAGGAATCTGTAAAATCCTACATACTAAGCGCATATATGTGTCATTCGAATGACACATATGCTAACGAAGGTGACTGAACAGTGGCAGTGAGCATGATAGTGACTACTACTGTGAGAATATACTCTTCCTTGAAAAGACAGAAAGCAAAATAAGGGCGCAAGTATGGCTTCGAGCTTGAATACATGAACTAGTTCATGTGTTGTCTTTACAAAAGGGTGGGAGAAATTAGGCGATTAAGAAACGCATAGACAACTTGCATAGAAGTCAGAAATGTAAACCGGCGTACACCGTGAAACTTTAAGCGTAGTTTATTAGTTTCGTAGTTGGATCTGACAACACCAGCGACAACAGATCCAGCCGAGATGCGAAATTTCGGTCCTGAAATTCCGCGCGTAAATTAGCGTATTATAATAATCTCTCGTGCAGAATGGAAAAAAACAACTTTACCATTTCAGCCATCTCATTATCATTTCACATCTTTTAAATAAAATATGCATAATTGTTGAGTTGACAATCTATTTTACTTGTGCTGAAACAAGAAATGTAGAGCCGAAATGCTAGCAGAAATGCCCGTATCATCTCTAAGGAATGAGATATTGCTGATAATGATTTGGAGTTAACAGCTTAGGTAATGTAGAAAATCAAGGTAGGAGCTTAAAGGAATAAGGTAAAGTACGCGAGAATTACAGAGGAAGTGTGGGTGAATGACTGTGTAGGCAGAATTATAGGTTTTTAAAATCTCCTATTTAGCAAACCTGGAGTTTATCCCTTTAAACTACGCGTGCACTAAGGAAGATTGGATGCGAGAAGTTATTTTTCTCCTGACCGTATTATGAGAGTATGGAATAACCTGCGCAAGGCGATCGGTATGTCTTAGTCTCTGATAGACATGCTGAAACAGCAAGTTGTTCTTTCTTCCTAACTTTCTAGTGACACACGAGTTTCTGTGAAACTACGTTTCTTTCCACTTGACACTGAAGTTACTTGCATCGTTGCTAATTGTTTTAATTTGCATGTAGCGAATAGAGAATCCAGGAAAGTAAGTTTGCTCCTCTGTTATACACTGAACTGAAATGCAAAATGTGAGCTGTAGCATTGAGTCGCAAAATTTCTCAAACCCAAAACACAGGCGAAGAAATCCGACTAGGAACAAGGTTCTTTGGAAGAAGAGAGTAAACGACAGCGGAGTTACTTAAAGCCGCTTATACTTTTTTACCCTAGTAGATTTACCAGATTCAGTTTAAAGAATCAGGAAAATGTGGTGGTCAAAACTTTCATATTACTTATTCGATATGGATATATTTTCTGCAGATATATTATAAATATCTCAGTCCACGAACTAGGAAGGTAAGATTTCCATTAACACACTTAGTTCCTCACCGTAAGTCATTCGGAGCCTGGAGCTTTCCGAATGTAATGCAAAGTGTATTTTGAAATGGTCCGCTGCTTAAAATTTTATTTCAACTGCGATGATTGTTCTGCTTTGGTGTGGGCGCTGGGTGTATTGAAAGTTTAAGAAGTAGTATTCGTCTAGATGAACTGGCAATGGTAAGAAAGGCGTGACTGTACGGGCTAGCCATTCCCCTCTTGTCGCATCTTGTATACAGTTCTGGTCTGTGCCTCCATGACGCTGTGATGTTCGTGAATGCCATGCGTCGATAGTCGACCCGACTGCAAATAAGTTAGATGAGGCCAAGGAAAGTAATTTTACACGGGATGCATTCATATGGAAAATGGGTCGTCCAGAAGTGAGGCGTTGAACTTGGTGCAAAGATCGTCAGTCATATGTAGTCGGACAGATGGTCAGCCTCCTCTACTGCGAATGGTTAATGATATATGCTGGGTAGTTGAAATGAGCTTGTGACTACGAAAGGGCCCCCATGGATCTTGAATAAAAATTATTATTATTATTATTATTACCATCTGAGTAAACTAAATCACGCGCAACTAATATCCAGTACCAGTTCTCAATCCCCAAATACCCAAGCAGACTAGTCTAATCTGGACCATTGCCCCTGAGGGTGAATTTGTTCTGTCGCAGGATGTTCCTGACCGTTTGACTATTCATTTCTTTTAGACACGAACGCTTCCTTCGGAAACGCTCCACGCCACCATCATTTTAGCCGGAGGGTGGAGGTGTCGAGGTGTGGTATGGTCGACAACACAAAGATTATCAAATCAGAAGTCAGGGAAGACGGATTGGAGTGGACAACCTCTACTGACGAGTAAGAGCGTACAAAAAGTTATGCAAGCATTCGCCACAAGCTGTCTCTCCAGACAACTTGTCTGTGTCCGTCGTTGAGATGACTGTCGCTCAGCGCGTGTGTGTGTTCTTTACCCTGTCCCAGGTGCCGCCAAACAGCCGATCAAAGAAAGGGCAGCTTCGACTGACTTCGAGCCCTCATGAGGATAGAGACAAACCACGCACGGCCCTAGCAGCGAATTGACAGGGGACGTGGGACGGACAGAAGGGCAGCACGACAAAGCGATGGAAGTCCAGGGTGCGGATAAACGCAGTATCCCCCAAAAGGAATTCGTTCACGCCTAGAAAACTGGAGTAGTCAAACGATCAGGAAAACGTACGCGTCGTCCACTAGGGGTAATATAAACAGGGGGTGTAGGGGAAGAGTAAGAGTGTGATGTGTCTGGAACACTGGGAGCCGATGACGAATTTGCAGTTTGGAGTAGCGGACTTGGGGAAAGAAAGAATATACGGAGGGATGGATATAGGGTCGACAGGTGAGGCAGGGGTTTGGTGACTACGGGGGTCATTCGGAAAAATGTCAGGAACAGCAGCTCTGAGATGGCCCACGCATAGGATCTCCTTATTAGTTCCGCATTGTATGCGGAAGTCCTTTGTCGCACGACAGATACACCGGAAGGGACCATCGTATGGTGGTTCCAGTGGCCGGCGGACAGGTTCACATCCGAGAGAGAGACATGAGAGCATACATAAAAGTCTTTCTCGGGATAAGACGCTGGGACGGATAGTCTGGGCGGAACCGGACTAAAGCGTTAGCGATTGTCGGATCAGCGACGTCGGGCAGAGAGATAGCTTCCGGCCACCGGGTGAATCGATCCGCACAGGTAAGGAGGTAGGTATAGTCTCCGTTGCCCCCTCCTCGGATGGACTTAGCTGACTGTAACCGATCGCATTTGTGTTCCTATCGCCTCGAGACTGGTTTTCTATTCGCCACTTTGACATGAATGACCTCATCTAGCATATGAATTCTGCCTTGACCATGCCCGTTTCGAGCCCTTTACCCAAGTCCACATACAGGCCGGTCATGCCTGCTTTTATACATTCAGGAATGGTAGATTTTTCTCCTTGAGTGTTCACCCAGTCATACTCATTTTGTTTTTGTGTTGGGAGTTGTTTTCCGCTGTTCGCCCACCATTATTCTTAACATACTACTTATTTAATAATTACGAATTAAGTATTGTATAAATTGTATATATCTGTTCTAAAACTCATGTAAAAGTTAATCTTACTTGCTATGAACGGACCCCCGGGTCTTGAACAAAAATTATCATTATCATTAGCTCTTGGACAGAGGCAGGAGGTCTATGATATTCAGATGTACATGACTTAACCGTGCATCCGGAGTGTGGAAGGTGCCCATGGGGCATTGTTGTGAATTTGGGCCTTACTCCGCTGACAACAGACGCAGGTCCGTGTACATGCTTTCAGGCTCTTGTGCATCCCAGGCCAGACGAAACGGTTGGAAACCAACTCGTCGGTAGCTTGTATTGTATTGTATTGTATTTTAGGGTAATAGGCAATGCCCTTGATGACCCTATTGAAAACGGTGCATAAAATATAAATGTTAAATGCACATCTTACTAAAATTTTGTCAGTAACATATTTGTTCACGGAAAACTTTCATAATGCGGGACTGCAAAGGGTGCGGCAGGCGGTCTTTTCAGTGTGCACATGAAATTTTAAGTGCAGTTATATACAATCAGCATAAAGTGCAGTCATTTGCAGAGTTTGAGAGGGGGCATCTCATTAAGAGTCAGGGGGGGTGTTAAGTAGGGATGAAATCAAGAAATGAAATTTATGGCTGGCCGCAGGTAGTCCTGTTGCTCACAAGGTGGGAAAGGTTGCTCAGGGAGGGTACAGGGGGGGGGATGGCGGCACAAAAGCACTGTGGGAGGAGGTGAGGACATCACAGAGGATGACATCGTTTCTAGTATTCAGTGGCAGGTCCTGGAGTTGGAGTCCGCTGACGTCCTCGTCACAGGAAGGGCCAAAACAGCATTGTTCGACATCCATCTCAGCAAAATCGATCCCGGTAGATAGCTGGAGGTGTGCGATGGAGGGCCTAGATTGTGCGTCCGCCACCTCATTGTCTGGCCTGTCGATTTGGCGGATGTCTGAAGTAAATTGCGAGATGTAGTCCATTTGACGAATTTTCCGGGGATAAGCTTGTCGGGAGCGGAGTGGAGAGCTAGGGGAAGGGATGCGCGATCAGTTAACACTATGAAATTCCTACCCAGAAGGAAGTGTTGGGGGGGAGGGGGTCACGGCGAGGAAGACGACAAGGAGCTCTCGTTCGAATGTCCCATAGCGCGTCTCGGCAGGTGATAACTTCCTGGGAGATAAAGCTAAGGGATGGGTGTCCAGCGAGGTACTGTTGGAGAACCGCGCCCACTGCAATACTGGAGGCGGCGACCATGAGTGAGATGGGAGTATCTGGAGAAAAATGCGTCAAGGGGGTGGCGTCGGCCAGGGCGGCCTTCACATAGTCGAAAGCGGTGATGACGTCCGAAGACAGTACGGACGAACGTTTGGAAGACGAGAGGAGACTATCCAGCATCGAAAATCAATGAGAAAAATACATGCTATTTAAGTAGGCATTTTTACAGAGTAAAGCTTCTGCATGCTATCAGAAAGAAGTTCACTCGAAAGCCGGCATCCTGGGGTAACTGAATTATTATCGAATTATGCTGCTTGATGATTAGTTCTCCAATTCTACTTAATTAATCTTTTCGAATGAAAACGCATTTCGGAATTCCGGTTGACATTTCATGAGTTAGCCCACCGACTGTACGTACAGAATTATTGTGCGCATTTTGGATTATTTTTTTAAGGTGTCGAAGTTCGTCAGGAAACCGCGTCGAAATTGATTATCAGCACAGTTCAACTGACATATCAGCCGACTCGTGGTTATCTGCAGCCTAGAAAAAGAGTCGCTCAAAATCCTCCAAGATCTAAATTTATTAATGTTCTTCGAGATCTGCAAACTGCTGAAACACTTCTGGATAAACGTCATGCAATCTGTAAGACTTTAAGTAATTTTTCTTCGCTCGCCGAATTTTAAAAACTCATTTTAATTCCTCATATACAATCCGAAGTATTCACTATAACCTCGAAACCGCAAATATGCCTATTCTCTCATCCCGACATTTATGGAGTATCAGCAATTTAACTATAATAGTACTTTAATTTAATTTAATTTATTAAATGCAAGTTTACAGGCATTGCCAAGGGAAGCGATTAAACACAAATCCAACCATCAGTGAAAAAAAACTCTTGAAGAATAAAAATATAGTTGATGGTTGTTTTTATGGTTTGGAGTGTTCAGGAGAAAAAAAACTGCTGGTGGTAGATTTTCGACCGTCAGGAAGGGGCGGAGGGGGTTGCACGGTATCGGAGATTATCGGACGTCAATTCCTTTCATGAAGTTGGGGATAGTCAAAGTAGAGGCGTTGAGGAACAGCTGGTGAGACCGGCCATAGTGTTCAGAGACCACAAACGCCATCGCTACGGTAGAGTCGATCAGTGGATTCAGCACCCAAAATTTGAGGAAGCTTTTCTGAATGCAAAAATCGAGTAATAGTACGACCAGCGCTAGCGCTTCGTTAGGTGATAAATGGAATGAGATGTCCTTCGCGTCCAGAATCTGCGCTCGCTCTATGTACATTTCCAGCAAACGACCAGCAAGGCGTACCAAGAGCGTAATTATCGCGAGATCAAAAAAAGGCCAAAATAAAAACAGGGTTTCTGACTTAGGGACGCCCATGCAGCAGAACCTTGGTGACCAGAAGAAATTTTTCCATGACAGAGTCCAAAAAACGAAGATCAAAACGCAATAAACGCGAAAAATGTCGTCTCAGGAGCATCTCCAAACACGGCCAGCAACGTAGTAAGTACAGACGCGGGAATCTGTAGCAGCAAGGCAACGCGGCAGTGAAGCTGCTGATAAGGGCAGACCCGATTCTCGAAAGAGACAAACCCTACACGGTCCCAACAGCGAATCGACAAGGAGCGTGGGGCGAACAGAAGGGCCGCATGACAAAGCGACGAAGAGCAAGGAGACGCAGACTGTCCCAAATCTGACGAATGCCTTCGACATAGTAAATCGAGATGGACTCTGGAAAATCAGGCAGAAATTCTGATTTCAGCAGCGATTTACTCAAATGGTAAGACAGCTGCACGGCGTGATCTTAACTCTCACAGTGGACACTAGGACAATCTCCGAAGCATCCACGATGACAAACGCCGTGAAACAGGGTTACGCACTTGTTCCAGTAGTATTTAACCTAGTCTCCTCTACCATGCTGACGGTATCTACTGCGAGGAGCGGCAAGAGATACACATCCATTACTGGACGTCAGAAAGCTGTTCAACATCCGTCGTCTGAAAGTACCTTTGGAGGTATCCTAGGCCGAGACTCATGGCCTATTTTTTACAAATGACTGCGCACTAAACACCACAAAGGAATAGGATATGCAGCGTGGGTTGAAGCTCTTAGTCCCTGACAAATTTGAATTCGGTCGGAAAATCAGCACGAAGAGGACAGTGAGCCTGCACCGGCGGGTGCCAAATGCTGACTACACTAAACCCATATCAATGTCAGTGGAACTTACCTCATAGCAGACGAGAATTGGGCATTCACTTGGGAAACAATTTCAAGAAAGATGAGGGTCGCCCACTCTCCTGCGGTGCAAAGCGATGGCGTCTAGTCAGCGGTCTGCTGGGGCAACCGTACTCGCTTCCGATGCTCACCCTGCAAGAATTCGGCCATAAGGCCTATGCCCTGCCACAAATGTGAAGCGTCAGCAAAAAGACTAAAGAGTTCACAACCGCAAAACACCACCGAAATAAGTGCCTTGAAATACTTTTGACAAAGAATTCTCCACATGAATTCGTGCAGTACATATTTAAAGGGATCCCGGCGGCAAGTGATGTTTCTTTCACCTGCGCACGCTGTTCATCCGCTTAGCGCCTACAGTATTCAACTATTACTCGGACTAAAAGACTGACTCCTACTGCTGGACGATTAAGTGTTGCCGCGGGATGTGGTCGAGAGAAATGCAGGAAGAAATCCGCGGTCTCGCGACTCGGCGCCCTAATGATTTCTTCGGGGTCTTACCTACGAGTAGGGCTATGACCGCAATATGTCTTAGAAATGGACGCATTTAAATTGTTTTCGATATGAAAGTAGTAGTAGTAGTAGTAGTAGTAGTAGTAGTAGTAGTAGTAGTAGCAGCAGCAGCAGCAGCAGCAGCAATCTGCATCCGAGAAACAAAGATAAAACCAGAAGACACCCTGTTCAAAATCAAGAAATATGGTGCATTCATATCAAAATTTGGAGCGTGTCTGAAAAGGCCCGTTTCGAAAGATTTACTCCAAGTGCGCGCATTAATTTCCTCAAAAATTAACTAAGGCAAATATGGTGCAGTTCGACAGGGTTGCTAATAATAAGAGGGCGCCAAGGTATTCTAATAATAACACCTGAAAAACTCAATTATCACCTGATAAAAGCCGCGCAGGCGCTCATAGACTATCTGTGCCTCAAGGTGTGGAGATTTGACATCGCTCCCAAGTGTCGAAAGCCTCACTATTACAAATATGCCTCTCTCGCCCTTTGAAGCATTAACAAGAAGACTCCTAGCTTATAGGCGCATGAAAACAAAATCGCCAAGCAAGTGTCGCGACCCAGGATGACCTCCGGGGTTGAGGAGTACGCTCGGACAAACGTGACCCATGACTCGGCGAGATATTCCTAGATGCCAGAAGAATTTTGCTCCGCAACGTCTCACCTAACAGAATATCCGTGTGCTTGGAACCTAACCAAAGGAAACTCAAGAACCGCACACTAAACGTCTGCATCATGTGTGTTCAGGACGTCCTAGGTCAGTCCATTGTCCCATCCTCGATGTCCGTCCGGAGACGATTCATTTCAGAAGACAAAATAATTCTTTTGGCGAAGTGACAGAATCCGCAGATGTGAGCGTCCAGCGTCCATTACTTGGCACCCAACTCTAAGATGTGGCTCGCCGAAATTAGGCTGTGTCTAGCGGCCACACCCTGCTAATCGCCTCGACCGGCGGGCTAAACCAGATGTGGGGAATCAAGTGCTGTGTTCCCCAAAGCCAGTAATTACTTTACTCCTCCCGTCCATTCCCACTCCCTTCCGTTCTGCTCTTCCCTCCGACACTTCCAAAAGCCCTTCGAAGAGAATTACATGCGGCCCAGTCTAACTCCGGCCGCTCTCCCACTAAATAAAACCGCAACAAATAGTGGAGTCTGACGGTCCCTTGAGATGTATAATCAGCCCCATCTAGAGACAGCACTGCTTACCTCCTCACGACGATTGGGCTAGAAAATTTTGGGACCAAGTTATCTGCATACAGACCGTGACTCGCAGATGGACAACTCACGACAGAAACAGTCAAACAAACGACAACCCCCGCACAGCGCCACAGGCTAATGAGGTGCGTCCGCTTACGTTGACAGCTTTGAGTGTCTGTTCTCTTAAGGACAATCTGAGGGGCAGCCAACCAAAACGGAGGACGACGCCAGTCGCTCGAGAAGCTGCGCGCCACGAGGTGGACACAAGTGCTCGCAGCGAGACCTTAATCTCCTTACAAAGCCACCTGGAGGTGAGTGTCAACAACACTTTCTTCTCGAAAGGCTGCCCAAAGGCAAAGCGACATGGTGCAGGTGTCGCTTTCACCATTTTGGGACAATATCGTGGGACGACTGCCCTGTCTGCCGCAAGGCCTCAACGACCGCCTCACGAGCCTGCGTGTACCTCATCGGGGAGCCAAATTCGTCAGCATCGTCAATGTCTACGTCCCACTCCAATGATCGGTGTCGACGAAGCAAAGGCCAGGTTCTAGGAAGACCTGTAGGCCCTCTTGGCGAGTGAACCGAAGGCGGAAAAGCTGGTTGTCCTTGGTGACCAGGTCGAGACAAACTACGCAGCCTGGATTGGAGTGCTGAGTTTCGACAGAATCGGCAGCTGCAACGACAGCGGCCTACTTCTCCTGCGAAGTTGCGCGAAATACCGTCTCCTCTGGACCAGCGTGTTCTTGCGCCTGTCAACACGGAAGAAGACGAAGATACAACCCTGATCGCGGCGCTGGCAGGTGCTGAAATACGTTCTCTTCCGGAGGTGAGATTGACAGGACGTGCTGGTGACCAGGGCAATCTGTGACGTCGATGGCTCGACCTATCACCTTCTCGTCATCTCCAAGACGAGGTGCCATCTGAAATCTTGCAGAAGGCCACAAGGGAAGCGATTGCCAAGTAAGTTAAATACTGCTTTGTTGAATTAGCCTACTAATCGCTTGCATTCCAGCAGTCAATTAACGCAGCAGGTGGAAGAAATGTCGACCCCGGACAACGTAACCGCGGGGAATCAAAGGGGCCAAGACTATTGGAACATTATTGGCTCGACTGCACTGATGTCCGCGGACGCGCACGTAGTCACCAAGAGGGCTGGTTCGACAACAACGACGGAGTTATCAGTCTATTGCTCGGCGAAAAGCACAGGCTGCGCAAAGCCTACATGAACCATCGGACCGA